AAGTCTTTTTGTTAGAAATAAGTACTTGAATCATATACATTTATATAGTTTATAGTTTATAGTACATAAAATTGAACAGATTGTACTGGAATGTATGTATGGCCCCTTAAGTATGGTCTCTATGGTAACAAAAACCAAAAATGTTATTCTCCTAAAAATCCATTTTTTTATCCAATTAAAAGGACGAAAAGGATTCAAAGTCTTAGTGAAACATTGTAAAATATTTTGGATCTGAAGTAGAAAAAAGCTAACATTATACATCGGAATACTAATGATGGTATCGATATTTCTCGATGATCCATTGAGGCATATTCTCTAGGAGTAGAAAATTGAAAAAAATATCTTTTTTCCCATAACTCCATTCACACTAATAAAGAGAGACACTTAATATTATGGTTATAAATAACACTTCCCAAGATTCAGAATTTTAGGAATGGAAATGATTATGATATATTTAATATCGTATTTTCAATTTTACCCTCCAGTCCTTTTGAACTAATAATACAATGCCGTCCTTCGATGAACGTGTCAGAGATTGAAGAGGTTTTTTTTGTAAGGGCCAATAACTTTTTTCACTTGTTTTCCCAGTGTATAATCATAGTAAATGATGATCTGATCAATCCAGACCAACCCATAATCAACATTCCTCTCCAAAGCTGGAAGGATTGGTTTAAAAGTATAGATAAATAAATTGAATTTTATTTGTAAAGTTTTAGCAAGAAATGCAAAAAGGGGGAAAAGTCGTGTTTCAAGGACGATTACTAATTAAATATAAGGAGTACTTTACTATTTCCGTTATGTTGACTGATTTTTAGATCTTATTTTAATGATCTTTTTTCTTTTTTTAAAGTTTCTTCCTGCTTTTATTTCCGCTAGAAATTATTACAAAGATTACATTCATCCTACAAGGACAAAAACTAAAAAAAAAAAATTGCTTGACGATTCCATGTTGACATATTTATTAAAAAAAATGTGCAGTGTAATGTTTCTCTCTATAATAATTTTTGCCCCCCAAAAATAATGGATAAACATCGTTTTTATTCAAGGGCAATAACTCCTTTAAGGGATCAGTTGACCATTTCCGTAATGTAGTTTGATTTGTATACCTTATATTGGTGATACATTTTTTTATGTTTCTATCTGCTATCCACTAACAGTAAAAATAAAGAATGTTACATTTATCTCTCAAGGGCAAAAACTCCAATACAAAATCAATTGAACATTCCATATTGACTTATTTGTAAACAATTTTGTAGTTTATAGTGTCTCTCTATCAAAGGTTCCCCCTCCCCCCCCCCCAAACCCCCCAACCCCAATTAAAAAAAAAAATTGGATAAACATCGCCTTTCTTATAAGGACAATAACTCATGTAAGGAATCAGTTTACTGTTTTCATTATGCGAAGTGATTTGTAGATCTTATTTTTTACCTTTGGAACATCCGCGCTATCTATTATAGTTTTCGCAAAAAACGGGGAAATCGTACTTTAAGGTCAATACTTACTAAAGGAAATCAAATGACGATTTTGGTCATGTTGACTGATTTGTATATCTAATTGTGTTTAACACTTTTGCATTTTACAATTACTCTATTTCTATGATCAGAGTTTCTGCAAAAAATATAGTTTTTTTTACCGTGTTTCAAGGGCTATAACTTACATAAGTGGTCAGTTGACAATGTCTGTCATGTATACTGATTTGTTAATTTTTTATTGCAGATAATTTATTAATAGTTTCTACCTATCTATTATAAATTTCGACATAAAAATAAAAAAACAACACTAAAATACGATCAAGAATTGTCATTTACGGACAATAACCAAAGGTTTCGATCTTATTGGCATTTTTGTAGATATTGTATTGGTGATAATTTTATTTTATATTTTTTATAATGTGTTGTTTAATTTTTTTAGACATTGCAACACAAGCTTTATACGAGATGCCAATAGGATCCTTCACCCAAAGTTTGATTGAGACTGGTTGCCAATGAGTACTTTCAGAGAAGATCTTTAAAAAAGTGTACGACTGGCACAGGACAGCTGACGACAGAGAACGACGGACGCCAAGCAATGATAAAAGCTCATATAGCATTTAAGGCAAGGCGAGCTACAACGAGGCGGAAAATACCAAGGGATCATTCAAAACTTATAAATCGAAAGAGAAACTGACAATGTCATTGTAAAAACGAAAAAGCATGAAACTACAATCAAGTCCATAAAATAATACATAAATACCAAAAACTGAGCCACACTAACCACACAAAAAACTGGTGGTAAAAATTGAATGAAAGTAACACACAAATAATAACCACGATAAATTTCTGTCAGTTCTTTGGTCTGTCTTGATGTTCAGAATAAGATATTTTAAATTTTTACATTTACAATTTTTACTAAATTTCACATTTTATTTTTATTTTTTTTGGGAAGAAGTCTGTTCTAAATCGAATGATGGGTGGATGCTTAACATCCAATTTTGAATATTAAATACCTAATCAAGACGTTATCATCTCAATTATCATCATGACCCTTGCTTTGTACCAGACATGCTTGACTAGTTTTCCAGCACTCTAGATTACAAGAAAATATGTCATCCCTAATGGGACACGTTTTTCTAACTAGGAGCAATTCATACTTCACTCTTAAGTCCTAAATCTAAAATGTCCCGTGATTGGCGGAGATTTACTAAATAGATATAAGAAGATGTGGTATGAGTGCCAATGAGACAACTCTCCATCCAAGTCACAATTTGTAAAAGTAAACCATTGTAGGTCAAAGTACGGCCTTCAACACGGATCCTTGGCTCACACCGAACAGTAAGCCATAAAGGGCCCCAAAAATGACTAGTGTAAAACCATTCAAACAGAAAAACCAACGGTCTAATCTATATAAAAAACGAGAGACGAGAAACACTTATGAACCAAATCAACAAACGACAACCACTGTACATCAGGTTCCTGACTTAGGACAGGTGCAAACAAATGCAGCGGGTTACAACGTTTAAATAGGCGTCAACCTTCACCCTACCTGAAACAGTAGTGTAACATCACAACATAGAAAGACACACTATAAAATATCAATTGACATGGCTTAACTCAATCAAAAGACATATTAACAAAAACAAGTGAACATACACTGAACGAAAAAATTTGATCGATGACACAATGTAAATACAAAATTAATAAAACAAGGGGGTTAGATGTAAAACAATATCAGAAAGACAACCATAACCTTGGACAAAATGCCGCCAAATAAAATAATGTACACAGGTAAATAAAAATCATTTGTTGTAAGGTATATATGGAGTACGGAAATAATTTTTACAAAATAAATAATTTTGTTGTTCCTTAGGCTAGTACGAGAAAAAAAGTGAAAATTTATCGTCATACTAAACACTTATCAAAGGTGGTATATATTAAAATGCAACATTCAAAGTCTATTAATTAACTAAGAATATTGAGGTCAGCACGCTACCACCAACTCAATCAATTAGATGAAAATATGATACATGTAAATGGACTAATAAAGAAATCAAACGTTACCTAGATGTAGTATTGATTGTTGTTTGTTGTTAGACGTATAGCAGCAAATAATATATGAACTACAGAAAAAGTCAAATTTCTCATGTTTTAATTATTGTGATAAAATTGTAAGTAACCAGTCTTTGTACTGTACTGAACAGTCGGCCATTTTCACTTGTTCCGTTGATCGATAACTTGTGATTTTGTCAGTTTTATGGTCTTCCCCTTTTCTAATTTGCCTTGGAGTTCGTTTTTTTTTATATACCTTTTCATCCAATGAAAACATCCGATACCCTTATTACGGTTAATTTTCATACTAACGAATCCGTTAACAGCGCACCTGTTATCACAACGTTATTATAAAGTTTGTGAATACCACGTTAAATTCTAATGACATACTCATTAACGTCTCCGTTAAGTAAACGGATGCTTTGTGAAGAAGTCCCAAGTCAAAATATGTGTAATTATATTTTACGTATCATGGTCACTGAAATGGGTACCATTGGATTATATACTAAACCAGGCTAAATGACCATAAAGATGAATTTATTATAAGTATCAGGCAAAAAGTCATGAAATATACCAGGTTTATAATTTTGTCAGACGTTCGTTTTGTCTACATAAGACTCAAACATGTCATCAGTGACGCTTGAAATCATGACAGTTAAATCAAATCAAATACGACGTGGACGAACATTAAAAACCAAAAATTCACAAAAGCTGTGCATGATAATGCTAAGGCAATCTGTACCTAGGGATAAAAAAACCTTACCTTTTCCAATACAGTATTTTATAAACAGTGAATTTACAGAAAAAATTAACATATTCCAATGATATTTCATGTTAACCTAAAAGTGCTGACTACTGGGCTAATGATACCCTCGGTAACGAAACGCCTACCAGTAGTGGCATTAACCAATTGGTTGTTAAAACTCATAAAATATTTCAGGCTAATAATTTTGATCGCCAAATGCACACATTGTAACCGCACGTGTCGCACTCGCTGATATAAATCTATGTCCCCGGTTTATGGGCGGTATGAGCGCTCACAAAATTTTTAAACCTGCCAAATTCCTCAATTGTCTGTTTAAAGCCGAAATCCTGTAACTTAGTGGTTGTAGGTTGGTGTCTGCCATATAATTTAGTGTTTCGTTTCATTGTTGTTGTAGAAATCTGGCCTTGCATTTTCTGTTTTGAATTGTTTCAAGTTTTGCCACGTCGGGACCTTTTAAAGCTTACTATAAAGTAGTTGTTTTCATCATTGTTGAAGGTCGTTCGGTGATGTTGATGGTTGTCTCATTGGCAATCGTCTCACATCTTATTTTTATACTCAAACGTTTATTTAGTAAAACACACAATAGTACCATATACATACATGTTGCATACAAATGTATGCGAAGTACTTGAAAATAGTTTGAGGTAATTGAAATGAGGGGACAGAATATTTAATATCATATATGTAAAAACAATGTAAACAAACAAATATTTTCCTCATCTTTTTATGTTTTTATTAAAATGAATTATTTCCATACAAAATTATACTCTTCTGTCGTCTTCGTCTGTACTGTCGTCGTACCATCTATATTTCCAGAGTCAGACGCTTCCCTGAAATATAGTGACATATCATTATTATTGTTATATTTATAAAGTGCATTATCTAATATTAAAATTACTCGAAGCGACTTGCACAATAAATTACCATACCAATGAAAAACTGAAATATGGTACAAAAGGTGAGGTAACAATAAGGTCGAAAAATTAGAACTAGATACAGTTACATAGATGAAACAACGTTTTGATATCGTTCATTAAAACAATACTAATAAAAAGTTAGGGACACATAGTAACATTGTTCATATATTTGGTTAGTTAGAATTTAAATTTAGTTTAAGGAGGGCTGTTTTTAGATTTAGTCAACAAAACTTACGATATTGTAAAGGGATGCGAGACAATAAAAATCATATTAATCGTTACAAATATATAGGAAATACAAACGTCATTGTAACTAAATTATCTTAAAAAATCCGAACAAACAAAAAGTCTGAACCATTGACAACATTAACATTTTTATTATAACCAGTTAAATACAATTCTGCAACATAGACCTTACTAAATTAGGGTCAACAGTGGGATGCATTCGTTACATATAGATTAACGGAAGGTTGAACGAACGATTTATTCACATATTCGACATTTCAACGAAACACGCGTCTGGCGTATTAAATTATAAGCCTGGTACCTTTGATTACTATATATTCAACCTCTCTACTCACTTTTCACATATGTAGTACTGATTTTTATCACATGACACATCGTTCCAAAGTCCAGAATATCTCATTTCTGCACAGTCTTCCTTTCCTCTGGAGTTGTTAGGTTCTCCTGGCCAGAAGTTGTCATATTCCATGGCGGTTCCAGTAACCCATTTAAATGTACCTTCATCCATACGGTCAGTTAGCCCAATATGGTGCCAATTCCCTAGAAAATGTTCTCAAAATTTAAAAAGCACGATATTGCAATTAATCTACATGTGAGATCAAAATACGAAGAATTTCCTGCGATAGTTTTTCTTCAGGATTTATTTAAGAAACATATAAATACTTTACCATGCTTGATGATTGATGAATGCTAGTATAGTTATAATGTCACATAACCAAAGTGTGCCTAAATATGGTGGAAGCTTCGTTTTTCTATAAAACTTATGCAAAGTTATCAATGGAAAAGATGGAGGTATAATAAGATATGTATTATCTGGCCCCTGATATCGCAAGATAATCAAAATCATTCGAGAATTTCAAAATTGTGTTAATTCTATTAATAAATAAACGATGTAATATAATCTGGACGGAGACTTTAGTGCAAAAAGCTCACGTGTGATGTTAATATTTACATATTTTATCAAAAATGACATTTTTAAACATATGTTTTTGACAAAATAGATATGAACAAAGGTTTTACTTCAACAGATATTTTACACACATTGACATGTTTATAAAATACAAATTGTTTTGTAGCAAAATATCTTTTTGTGTGAAGCCTTTGCTCATATCTATATATAAATGACAAGATCTCAAATGAGGCTGTTTCGATAGTTTTTTGCAGTTTTGTTCCAATTTTTTTTTCGAGCGTCACTGATGAGTCTTTTGTAGATGCGCGTCAGGCGTACCAAATGTCAATCCTGGTGTCTATGATGAGTTTGTTGTACAAACACTGGGTCGATTCCACTGCTGGTCGAGTTTCTCCCCGAAGGTATCACTAGCCCAATAGTCTGAACTTCATTGATATGGTAATTATTATAAATTAACTGTTTACCAAACATCGAATTTTTCGAAATACGTAGGATTTTCTATCCAAGGATTAGATTACCCTAGGTGTATTTGGCAAAACTTTTACCAATTTTGGGTTCTCAATACTCTTCAACTTGGTACTTTATTTGGCTTTTTTCATTTTTTTTATTCGAACGTCACTGATGGGTCTTTTGTAGACGAAACGCGCGTCTGGCATACACAATTTCAATCCAGTTTATGCAAATATTTGAGACAAAATTTAAAACTGTCAATGAATACTAATACTTGTCATACTGATGCTGTATGTCGGAAACACCTGCAGGATTGCATTTATTAGATATTTAACTTACATTGTCGTCAGTAATACCGAACATATAGAGTTAGTGCGTTTAAGAACAAAATTGTATTATCTTATTTTCCTTGTCCCATTTATTATTCCACTTTTCGAGTTTTAAAGAGTCAAATACACAACACTTGTATGACCTCTCCATATATTAAAGTATCTGTTCCATGTCAGCTACTTTGGTGTATAGTCAACTGTGATTTCATGGTTTGATTCTTAAATGAAGGTAACTGGTTTTTGTACCCATACAATATCGGTCAAAAATTGAATATCAGTGACACTCTTTTCTCTCGTAAACAGGCAGCTAGAATGTCCGAAACTATGGATCTAAACACATTTTTTTGGTAACCGTTTGAGTGATTAATTTGTTTCCAATTTTACGCGGTTGGATATTAATTATGCGCGGCGTTATCTTTGCCGATTTCCTTATCCCAATTTTCGTTCTGAAAAACAACTTGTAACTTACATTATAATTATATATTAATTGTATACAAAACTTTAAATATTTCGAATTTTTAAAGATTTTCAACCCTAGGAATAGATTACCTTAGTTTTAGCTGTATTTGACAAAACTTTTTGGAATTTTGGGTCTTCAATGCTCTTCAACTTTATACTTTATTTGGCCTTTTGACTTTTTTGATTCGAGCATCACCGATGAGTCTTTTGTACACGAAACGTGTGTCAGTCGAACACAATTGTAATCCTGGTATCTATGATGTGTTTATTTATTTAGCATAAAAGTATGAAAAAAAAGATAAGGGCAAAATACACTTTGGATACTTGTTAATGACTATTTCAACATTTTTGGGGTATATTTTAACTTACAGTAATCGTGAAGATTTGAATGTATAAATTCGTTTTCCCCAGCGTCTACTATATCTACTAAGAATCCTCCTCTTCTGACACAATCTGCCTGAAATATATAAAATATGTCATACATTGTACGTGTAGTACCATTACATAGTAGAATGTTTACCCAACTACCTTGGTAAGCTTTAATATTCACAAATTTCTAAACAGAAAACTGTTTTCAAATAATATGTGCAAAAGTGTAACAGCAAGCACCCTAGTATTTGTTTATCAATCAATTTAAATTTGCAAGATATCGAAATATCGAATACAATTTGATGAATCGTATGAAAATTCAGGTCTCGTCAGTGGCACTTAGAATCGAATACTGGATGAACAAATATATCAATAATGGAAGAGCAGGAAATTTACAAAAACATTTATAATTGATTTGAAATCATTAATAACTCATCAAAGATACAAGGCTTATAATTTGAAACACCAGACGCACGTTTCTTCTTCGTCATACTAATTCACGGCGCTCGAATAAAACAGTTTGCAGGTCAAATGGCCATGTCAGAAATGGAAAAAAATATATATATGTACAAAGCACTACATAGAAAACTATGTATTAAGCCAATCGAACCACACCTTAAAAACCAGGGATGAACCCATGTGTTTCGGAAAAGGTAAGCAGTTTCTGCTCCACATGTGGCACCCGTCGTGTTGCTCATGCAAGTAAGAATCCGATGATTAGTCATATTTTAAGATGTCACAATCGAGGAAAAGAGGACGGAATTATACTATTTCTAGTTTCAAAATTTGGAATATTTCCGTGGTCATCTGTGACACAGATATTCAATAACGTCCAAACACCTCATTATGGCGTCCGTTGATTCTTTTGAAGGGATGACTTCGACTTCACCACTTTGAACTCTTATTTCAATCGAGTAAATCGATGAGTTGAGTGAATACTTTTAACATTTCTTGCAAATATGACTTACCTGTGCGTCATACCAGTCCATAACGTTATCAACAAACAAATAGCAAGAATCCCTGAAACTTTTCCAACCATTTCCACAATCAGCGCGTGCTTTGAATTAAACATGATAAACATACAATATAAAAATCATTCTCAGCTACTAAAAGGTTATTGATTTAGAGATATATTCGTAGACGAGAACCTTGTTTTTGAAAAATTCTGTGTTTTTTTTAGGTTACGGACAACTTAAATTTGATGATACTCTTAAGGTTGATTTATTCATTCGAAATTATTATGAGATTATTAGATGAGGTAGGCGATATCTATTTAATCTTTATATCTTAACAAAGGATTGAAAATAAATGACCCTAAAACAATACAAGAACATGAAAAAAAAAAAATAGAAATGAAACAAATGAACTGTGATGGAAAGTTTTGGGCAATACGATCACGAACTGCCATCAAATTCTTAAATGATACCAAGTGTCAGACCGGGCAATTAAGGCATATTTCGGCTCTGATACTTACCAAACATTGCCTTTAAGTAAACAATGAGTCAAAATCATAAAAAAAAATGTGAATAGATAATGAACATCAACAAATGGAAACGGTAAAATGATTACATATCAACAAATGGAAACGGTAAAATGATTACATATCAACAAATGGAAACCGTAAAATGATTACATATCAACAAAAGGAAACCGTAAAATGATTACATATCAACAAATGGAAACCGTAAAATGGTGACATTTGAAATTGAGTATGAGAATAACTCTTTACATTCGAAGCACTTTTCTGGACTTACCTTCATCAGGAACGCCGATATAACCAAAACATTGAAAGTCAGTGATATTTGAACACATATAATCATTAGGAGCTATATAACAACAAAAAGGACATCAAAAGAAAGGCCAAGTTGATTTAAGGTCAATTTTGCCTGAAATCTTACTTTTTTACTATATGTAAGAGAATGATAATCCCTTTCTTCGTGATTTAGTATGAGCGTTAGCGAGTACTTACCACGAAGAAAGGGATTATCATTCTCCTACAAACTTAGAATATTGTAAAGTCTTCAAGACTCAAACGATCTCTTGATTGGTTTTATTCAAGAATTTGTTTCATTGTCATTGCAATGTTTATAATTAATGCATGACTTGCTTTTTCTGCATTTCATTAATATTCTACATAATGTGTTTTTTTAAGCAACAGGAAATCAACAATAATAGCTTAAGAATACTCACTTGAAGACACACACAGACAACAAAATACGAGCGCTCCTAAACCGATCATTGTCATGACTGGAACAGCAATTACACGTATGCTTCCTGTCTCAAGTCAGGAGAGCATATGAAAAGCCTACACGTTTTATGGAATTTAAACAATGTCTATATTATATACAATTACTAATTGTTATTCTTATAATTTCAACAATTGGCCCATTTAAAGTCGTTTGAAATTTAACTCTGAAATAGGTGTGTGGTTGCTGCAAATTAAATAATCGTTGGCTGTATAAATTATGAGAATGTCACTTTTGGCATATCAGGAAAGCAATTTATTGAGTATAGGTGGCTGATAATTGTAGTCATAAATTGTATTTTAAATGAAAGAATTTTTCGACATGAAAATCAAATTGGACTGACACATTCACAGAAAAATGGTTTCAAATGAACATTATAGTATATGTAGATGAAGGTTCATTATGGGCTAACATGATAAACTATATTAAAAATCATTTGAACTATGCATCATATACAGATATAAAAATATCAACAAAAATCAAACCCCAAGATAAATTCAAATAGTGGGAAGTCCATAAAAATTGACAATATCAAACGCTAGACTATATCAACCAATGGAACGAATTGGAAACAAATGTGAAATATTCACTGAAAATACTGATTTAGGGCAGGAACATAAACATATGTCGGGATAAAACTAGTTTTTTGTCTTGATCTCAACCCTTCCGCGCTTGTTCAAACTCGATCAGTAGACCAAAAAACGATACGTAAAAACAATTCAAAATAGCACTGGAACAGTTCCTAACTCTATTATAACAAGAGAGGCGAAAGTAACCTAATACGATATATACGGGGTCAGAAAATTTCATAATGGGTACGCTCTCATCCCATATGAAATTTACTGACCCCGTATATATCGTATAAGGTCATTATCACAATGTGAAACTAATACTATTTATTTTGTACAAAGGTTCTTATTAGGAATAATTGTTTCAAATTATTTTCATATGTGCGTCCGTAGTTTTATTATAAGCCTTGATCTTTTTAATTTCAAATTAAATTTTAAAGAGTATTTTTATATAACGACTGGAATTACCAATGTAAGTACTTATAGTATTTATCAATCTAGATAACACCATGGAGATAATATACTAGTATTCTCATATCATTATTGCACATTTTAGCTTCTATTTATTAACGTACGATATGTATTTGGCAAAACGTTTCGGAATTTTGGTTTCTCAATGCTCTTTAACTTCGTACATTATTTAGCCTTTTTAACCTTTTTGCTTCCAGCGTCACTGCTGAGGCTTTTGTAGACGAAACGTGCGTCTTGTATACAAAGTTTTATTCCTGGGTTTTATGATGAGCTTATAATATTTCGAAAAACTAAGGACTTTCTTATCCCAGGAATAGATTACCTTAGCCGTATTTGGCACAACTTTTTGGAATTTTGGGTCCTCAATGCTCTTCAACTTTGTACTTGTTTGGCTTTATAACTATTTCGATCTGAGCGTCACTGATGAGTCTTATGTAGACCAAACGCGCGTCTGGCGTATTAAATTATAATCCTGGTACCTTTGATAACTAATTATATACACAATACACCGTGTCCAATACACAGCTTATATATAATATAATTTTTTTAGAAGACATGTTTGATAACTATAAATAAACTAATTTAAGTAAACGCTTAGAATAGAAATATAGTATTGTCATTTTCCTCAATTGGGTTTTGTCAAATTTTTGTAAGGATATTGTTCCACGAAATGATACTTTTTTAGTTAAACATGTCATCAGAAATGGTTTCAAGAAACAAATTAAATTTTCTACTGAGGTGCAAAAGTCTGTAAACATTATGTTTATGTTTCAGCATTACTCATGAAAAGTTGAAGTTAAACGTAAAATATGGTGTATGACAAATTTCCCCTGTATACATGATTGTATTATTTGTTTCACTCACAGAGCCAAAATCTGAAAAATGTCAAATTCCACTGGAATTTCAATATTGAAGGGTCTACATGATTATTGTTTTTTTTTTTTTTTTGCAACAATTTTCAACATGTTTCAATTAAATCAAAATGGAATTCGACGCTCAGTGTTGCATCAATGGACGTCACTAATCAAAAAAAATAATATGTAACAGAAATACAATTTAAAACTGTAGTTCGAAAATAATTTGGGTTTTTGCGATATGAATATCTTTCGTAAACATTTTTCGATAAATAGTTATATATATTTTGCAAAAAATCTGTTGAACTTGTGGTTTTGGTTTATCTTCATGCATTTATAACTTGGTAAACAGTTTAGAATTATATTTTATTATTCTAAAAGTGTAAAGATGGAGCTGTGAAACTGTTTCATTAAGTAAAGATACCTTTTGAAATCGCCCTGTTGTAAAATAAATTCAAGAGATATTAACACCAATTATTTGATTTGAAAGTCAAATCAATCTATATATGATTTCTCCCGTACACACGCATACACCCTCGCAATGACATACGGTCTTTAAAAATTTAGAGGTCGCTATATACGACAAGATCTAAATCGAGTATTAAAATGGAAACCTAAGTTCTCAACGATATTAAGATTTTAAAGCATATAAATAGTGGAGCAGAATCTGCTTATCTTTCTTGAGATCACTTCCAGGTTTTAGTGGAGAAGCGTTGCTCAGTCTTTAGGGGATTTTTGCCATGAAGTTGTCAGTTTCTCTTCGTCTTGGTTTGAATGTCCCAATGATATCTTCCGTCACTTTTTATAGTTATATATGATTTTTGCTAACTTTGATTAATTTAAATAGACAAAAAAGGAACATTTGAATTGGTTCAGCTCAGTGGATATTAATGACATAGCTAACAAATTAGCATTTTGTAAATAAAAATAAAGTAAGAAGGTATTCATAAATCAAATATATATATATTGCCGTGCAGTGGAGTGTTTTGTGAACACTTTGAATCGTGTAGGATAAGACTGAAAAGTGTGTTTGTGTGGTGGAAGGTTGGTTGAGGGGGGATAAATTCTGAAAGTGAAAAGTAAAAAATAAAACATAAAAAAAATCCGTTTCTAAACTGTAATAGTGTGGAAGTTAATAAGTGTCCTCTTTCATTTTCATATTCACTTGTTTAGGTCAGTATTTTTTGGGCTAAAAACTAAGATACTAAAAACTAAAAAAAACATAATTTGCCCCTAATTTCTAAAATGGGGGATGTCCCTCTTGGCTCCGGCTCCCACGCCCATGAATTTTATCAGGCACTTAATTCCATCTTTAGAATTCGAGCAAACCGAACAATGTTTCCGATAGACTACTTTCTATAGTCAATAGCTGTCTCTCTTGTTAACCTTTTGTGTTAAGTTGCTGACCCGCTGACTTTTACAGAATATATCCTTATTCATATCATAAAAATCAGTATAGTATAAGATTTGGCTCCTTCCCCTCCCTTCTCTTATTTGCATGTAACCACTCCCCCTTCAAATAGTTCCTGGATCTACTACTGATTAAGCTTAGCAAATTGGAACAAGCTTCTGTGAATAACCTCTTCTTTTTAAACAATTAATTATGACAATCTATGTAGCGATAATATATCACGTTCCCAAACACGTGTATTAATTCCCTCAGGGTGTTTTTAAAACTACACATTTTCCTGCGAATCAATTAATACTGAATTTAAACAAATGAAATAAACATAATTGTTTGAAGGAAAAACAATATTACGTATTTATATGAAATATCAATTATTGCACAAAATTACAGGTGACATTGTTCTTCAACTAAATTTATTCAAGAGGGTCTTGTTAAATCATGTTTCATTATTCTTTAATTACCTTTGTCCATTATTTTCTATTTCATTATATTTTTTGCACCCCATTATTTTCTATGGTTTATTTTTCCTGGCCATTTTTCTCTATTCTTAATTGAATCTTGATTGTTTAGCTCATTATTCTCGAGGTCTATTACGTAAACCCCATACAGACGTGCACACCTCTCCTTTTGGTTTTGATGCTCTAAACTGATTCAATTGTTTCACTGGATAAGGGTTGGTTCTTTAAAAAAAAAACTGTGAGCCCGGAGGACGAATGGTATCATTTTCAAGATGAAAACCTTATCCATTGTGTCTTAAATGTAAACTTTTGTTGTGGCGTCTTATCGAAATAACAATTAATTCATTAATTAGACCTTTTTGTCAGGGAGTTCAAATAATCACCTAATTATCTTGAAAGGAAAAAAAAACTCTTCAAAGATACCAGGTTTATAATTTTGTACGCCAGACGGATAAGCCCAAGAAGCAGTCATTAAGGTAGATTTATTGTTTGCCATCTTGGATTGTAAAGTAGCAGTACACAATCGGTCGTCTTTACTTAAATCATCAAATTTTGAGACAGATTGGTAATTATTGTGCAAGACTGATTACTTGAATATAGAAAAATAAATGAGTAATTGCATTATTCAGACTTTTTTTTAACAAATACCAAATATTAGTTTCTGTTCAAATAATTTTTTCAACTTAACCATTTAAGAGGAACTAATATTCATAACAGAAATTTTATAAAGGAAGGTTAATGAAATTTTCATTTATTACTTGTAGCAAGAAAACAAGTTCGGTCAGACCATTGTTTTTTTTATTTTCTTAAAGCATATTTATAAAACCTATCTTTTTTATTCAATTTCACAATTCTATCCTATAAATTTTGATTTATTCATAGAAAAAGTTGTTTTTTATGAATAATCTATGCAAATATGGGCATGTTGCATGACCTCTAGCGCGGTGACCCATACTTTTTATTATATTTTTGAAAAAAGCATGACAAAACCTACATTTTGGCAAAGTATAAAGCAAATTGTATCTCAGGAAACATATACTGACGATTCACCTTAATTCGAAGTATTTAGGTATGAATTTTAACCATGAAACGTACTAAACAAAATAACTTGAACTTTAAGTAAATTGCACTGAAGTTTTCGTTAAATTATTATGAATCTGACTATTATCCTTGTTTTACAAATAAATAATATTCGTTTGGTATTTGAGTATAAAAACATGAAAGTAACATAATTTCTATGAAGAATCATAATTCGAATCACATCATTATATACACATTCATAGTAATTTGCAAATATAAGTTTGGAAGGATTTGTTT